TGCGGCTCCTCTCGTGGCCGCTGTGCCTTTTTCCCAGGCCCGCACTGGTCTCCCCTGGTCCCCTTGCCCTGTGCCAGCCCAGGGCAGGCTTCGTGATGACGGGCGGTGGCTGAGGAGGTGGGAGGGGTTACGTGACCTTTATTCTGTGAACTGATCCCATGTGGGTTTTCTCTTTAAGTGCTTAAAAAATGACTGGTTTTAGTCATCCTTCCATTTTAAAGGTGAAAATGAAGATTTTATTCTTGGAGTGCAGTGATTTTAGTCTTTTTGAAAGCAACAGTTGAGATTTGAAAAAGACATCTCAGAGAACTCAAGTGTATAAAGCCGAGAAAAGAGAATGTGTTCAGCTTGAATTGTGGGCAGGACCCCAATTTGTGCCTTTGTGTCTCCCAGAGTCTGCTAATTCCTGAGATGGGTGGATATAGGACTCCAAACACCCGAAGGACTAAGGTCCTAAAATCACAACTTAGTCTGTCTGTGTCAGGAGTGTTGGTTGTCACAGCAGAGGTTTGGGTGGAGCCAGGAGCAGTGTAGCCTGTGCGGGGGCGGGGGGGGGATCAGAGAGCAAGGAGGGTGGAAGTGCAGCCCGGCCAGGAGGGAGGTGGGGGATGACGTGGGGACACAGGAAGGGGTGACACCTGGCGGGGTCTGAGGGGCCGTGGTTGTCACACTCAGGGCAGGGATGCTCCTGAACATCTATGTAGCACCCACGGCACAGCCGAGGTTGAGAGGCTCTGGTGTGAAGAATCCCCAGCCTGTCTCAAGAACCGCTGAGTTCACAGCAGGGTCCAACACTCCACTGTGGGTTCATTTTCAGTGCCCTTAACAAGGTTGGATCCAGCACTTCCTGAGCTTGAGTGAGTCAATTAGGCAGAATTGATCTCAGAATCAGTGAGGTAGAATTAGCTCAGTGACTCCTCACCCAGGGTAGATTCTAGGGATGCCTTTGAGTTTAGGTGGAGCCCTTCCAATAGCCTCACTGGCAGCGTTTTTAGTAGGAGGAGGTGGCAAAACCCCTCTTGGTTCTAGTGCATTTGTTTTCTGAAACAGTTAATACTCTTCAGTAGCTTCGTGTTGTTAATTTATTGTTAAAAATTTTGTTCAGTTTTTAAAAAGTTAACATGTTTTATGTGTATGGCTGAGTCGGGTCTTAGTTGTGGCACGTGGGATCTTGAGGCATGTGGGCTCTTTCGTTGAGGTGTGCCGGCTTCTCTCTAGCTGCCGCATGCGGGTTTTCTCTTCTCTAGTTGCGGTGTGTGAGTGCGGTAGTTGTGGCGCGCGGGATTAGTTTCCCCACAGCATGTGGGATCTTAGCTCCTGGACCAGGTATCCAACCCGCGCCCCCTGCATCGTCAGGCGGAGTTTACCACGGGACCAGCAGGGAAGTCCCTCTTCGGTGCTACTTTCAAACAGTATCCTTTCCAAGCAGTGTTTGCGTGCTCTTCCCCACACACTCATCCTGTCGTCTTCTTGGAAGTCGTCGTCCCTCCACACCCCTTCTCTGCCCCGTTGATGGTGGCCCGAGCCGAGCCCTTCTGTTTCCATGGATCCCCTTGTGACTGGGTCGGTTCCGGGCTCCCGAGAGACAGTGGCAGAGGCGGAGCCATGGCGCCATTTTCTCTGGAGATGGCGGTGATGGCGGCGGTCGCGGTGACAGTGGAGGTGGTGAGGCGCCTGGCAGTGAAGCAGCAGCCACCGCTGTGCGCGAGGTGCTGCACCCGTCCCCGAGGGTGGGTGGTGGAAGGGGCCACCTGTGGTCGCATTTCCAGCACCGTGACCGCAGGGCCAAGGCCATGGCGAGGAAGAACTTGCCCTCGGCTCAAGTCACAGAAGCGGGGCTGGCGCCCGCGGCCCCAGAAGCACAGCGAAGAGTGCAGGGAGGTGAGGGCGGCGGGGCTGGGGCCCGTCAGATGGGGCCTGCCTGGAGAAGCGGCGGGGTTTGTTTTGTCTTGTAAGTACGGCTGCGAGCCCAGGGCGTTGTGGCCTCAGTGGGGAAGAATTGACACCATCTGGTCGGACGCGGCAGCAGGTCCTGCGGGCGCTGCGTGGAGGACGGGTGGGGGCGGGGCAAGAGGGATGGGTAGAAACCACTGGCGGAGGAGTCGCTTGGTGTACATGGGTTGAGCTCTTTAGGCAAAAATTCTAAACCCCTCAACATCACCCATCTTAGAAAGCCCAGAGCAATGTATATAATACTTTAATTAAGTGTACATACTGCTTATGTGTATAATGTACATACCCTAACATCTTCAGATTTTACTGAGCGCTTGTTTTGTGTCAGGCACTGTTCTACTCACGATGTAGGAAGGGTTACGTGGCCTAAGATCTCTTTGTGCAGAGAGAAACAGAATGAAAGACTCCGTGATTCCGTTTGAGAAAGTTCAGCGCGTGGATGGAACTGCTGCAGCAGCAGTGGCCGATGCTGGGTGTGTCAGCACTGCCGGGTGTGTCAGCACGGGAGGACTCGGTGTGGCAGCTTTCCTTGCGTTTCCATGACCCTCTGTCCTCCCCACTCTACTGTTCGCGCTCACACATCCTCACCTGGCACACCGCCTTTCGGGTGGACTTTGGGCCTTTGAATTCAACACGGGCCCAAACTATCTTTTCCTCACATCTATTGCTCCTCCTGAGGTTGGTACAGTTTTTGTACCTGGTCAGGCGGTCAGAAACCGAGGAGACAGCTTTGCCTCACCCTCCTAGTCTCCAGGCCCTGTAGGAGGCACCTTTCCTGTGTCTTGGAGGCCGAGTTTGAGGCCCACTGGTGAGATCTGGACCCTCTTCCATCAGGTTGACTCAGGGAGGGGTTGACCCCAGCGGCCTCTCTGTGTCCTGCCCCAGCCATGCTGGGTTCCTCACCCAGGATGTCGTTTTCCTGTAGCTTCTTGTTCTCTCAGAGAAGAAGGCCTTTCTTCTTTCCCTGTCTTCTGCTGGCTAGCTCTTAGTGCTAGCTACTGCTGAGTAACTCTTGGAGAACCAATTTTGCCCTGTGTATAAAGAGCCTCAAAAATGCTCATATTCTGACAGGAGCCGTTTTATCTCTGCTAAGGAAATGGTTCTTATCTGGAGGAAACTTATGCGTAACAATGTTGACCGTAACAACTTGACCGTAACAACTTTCAATGTGATTTACATTTTTTACTGGTTAGAAAATTATAAGAGCAATACGCCACTTAGAAACCCCTTTAAAGTATGAGTACCGTGTAGTTCGCGTTCCACAGGGATTTAATGTCTCCCACTTTGCCTCCCAGCCTTACCTCATTTCCCCGTTTTGCCCTCACTTTCGGAGGGAATGATTCTGGTCCCATTCTTGTGGTGGGTGGTGGACTCACTGGGCTGAGGCAGTGATTTCTGACCCCTTTGACTCTCTCCCGAGCGGCCATGAGAGTGTGTGAGGCCACTGCGTGCAGAAGGCAGTTTTGACCTTACCGATTTCCCGGAGGTGCTTTATTTCGTCCCTCACCAAACAAGGCTGTTTAAGGATTCTTTCTGGTTGTTCCCTAAGCCACGAGGAAGACCTGGCTAAAGTGATCGAGCTCCAGGAAATCCTAGACAAGCAGTCGAGAGCAGAGCCAGGGACTTCACTGCTGGTCCAGTGGGTCGGACTCTGCGTTTCCAGTGCAGGCGGCCGGGTTTGATCCCTGGTCAGGGAACTGGATCCCACATGCATGCCACGACGAAGAGCCCACAAGCGGCTTAATCCAGACTCAATCTTAGGTTTACACACTGGGAAATTCCTCCACCAATGTGTATATAAGCTGATGCCCTTTAAAATACGCTTGTTTCTGCATGTAAATCTGCTCGCTGAGTCCATCTGACAGTTAATGGCTGGTGACACTCCTGAGGCTCCCTGGGTCCTTTGTTGAACAGAAGCAGTGGGGAGGGGCGAACAGTGTCCCTGCCCTTTTCTGTACCTGGGAGTCAGCTCTGGTGACGGTGCAGAGTCCACTAGGGATAGCAGTGGGAGGCGACAGCCTACGGAGCCAGGGCACAGGCCATGCCCGTCGTCGCTCCTTGGTGCTTTTAAAACACTGACCATACTTGTTCTTGAAGTCTGTAAGTTTTTGTTTTTCCTATTTTAGGCACAAAAGCAGTTACAAGAAGTGCAACATAATCAGATACTTAAATCTCTGAATCGTTTAGGAATCTGTAAAGAGGTGAATTGAGCTGGGTTCATAGTTACTACAGACGTTTAGCCAGAGTCTACGCCAGTCCACTGCTGTAGTGTGTACAGCACCCCTGGACTTGGACACTGAATGTGTTTGCACTTTAGATACATTTAGAGTCTGGCAGTTGTGTGTGGTTTGGAATGCTGAGTCCTTTCTGGGTTCACGTGAAAGCTGACAGCCTAGGGAGCCAGGGCACAGGCCACTCAACGTCATCGCTCCTTGGTGCTTTTAAAATAATGGCCATACTTGTTCTTGAAGTTTAGAACTTTTCGTTTTTCCTATTTTAGGCAAGGCAGAGAGAAAAAATGAATGGAAAATGTAATAAAATCAGACGTTGTTGACAAGCTTCTTTCAGAATCTAACAAGAGGCTTTAGCTTCATCATAAACGGCTGCTCGGGCAGAGAAGGTGCGCTAGCACAGCGTCCCTGAAGGCCCCTTTACAAAGAGGGTGCTATTGGTCATGTCCATGCCACAGCGAAGATCCCCCGTGCTGCAACTAAGACCTGGCGCAGCCAAATAAACATTTTTTAAAAAATATATATATATATATCCACTTTAGCGTTAGGATTTACATTCAGGAAAGTATCTTGGACTTCCCTGGATCTTGAGAAGGTGGGGTTGCGTTCCCTTCTTGCATGCCGGGGTCAGGGGCGGAGGGGTGAAGGCTGGTCTGAGTTACGGTGGTCCGGGGGCATCTTGGGTGGGTCCCCCTCTTTCTCTGGAGGGTCTTCCCACAACGGCGCGAGGTGCCTGTGTGTGAGGACTGGAGAGGCTTGACTGGACACAGTCTTGAGGGTCTGTTTTCTATTTCTATTTATTTAACTGTTTTCCAGGATTTTGCAGCAGTTAAGAACTAAACATATGCAGAGAGCAGCTCCTTGAAAGAGAAAAAGAAATCGCTGAACTGAAAGCGGAAAGGAACACCACCAGGGTTAGTGGGCTTCTTAGTGGGTTAACATTTGCTTCCGGTCATGATTGGGCTCCGGGTTACTGTCTTTAAACTCAAAAGATGATCCACTCTGCCTGCTTTTAAACACGTTTTTGTTTTCAACATCTTCCCACTAAGCAGACTGGGGTTGACCAGTTGCTCATACCTTGCTTGAAATTTATGATGAGAGTTAATGTAACTTTAGTCCATTTGAGGGGGGATTTCTCTAACTTGATTGACCGGCCACACTGCACAGCGTGTGGGATCTAGTCCCCGGACCCCCTGCAGTGGGAGCGCCAAGTGTTATCCACGGGAGCACCAGGAAAGGCCCTTCGCTAAAAAGAGCAGAAAAACCAGAAGGAGACATTGACGGGACAGACGGGGGTGCTTGACATAAACCCCGAGCATGAATGGAAAGGCAAGTCCTTGTCTCTCTGTCTGGTTCTCATCTCATCTCACCTGTCCAGTCTGTGCAGGTCTGTTGCCAACACACCGCTTACACCTGAGCGGCCGTGACAGTCGTGTGAGCCCACAGCGTGCAGAAGGCCGTTTTGATCTTAGCGATTTCCCGTAAGTGCTTTATTTCGTCCCTCAGCAAACAAGGCCGTTTAAGGATTCCTTCCGTTAGAGGTCTTCTGATGGTTCTCACGAGGAAGACCCGGCCAAAGTGCCCGAGCTCCGGGAAATCTCAGACAAGCAGCCAAGAGCAGAGCCAGATGAAGGAGCTGGACGCCCGGCCGCCTTCGGTACTCACATGACAGAGCGGGAGGAAGGTCTGTACACGGCCGGAGAAGACCTCATCGTATCTGAGGAAGTGAACACGAAATTGCAACTGAGGTGAGTGACATTACCTCATCGTATCTGAGGAAGTGAACACGAAATTGCAACTGAGGTGAGTGACATTACATGTGTCAGTGTTGTCAAGGGAACCAGACATAATCTAAGACAAATATGGTGAATTGGCTGTGTGCACCTTCTGTGTGGTTCTCAGTGGGTCCTCACACAACCCAGAGAACAGGGCTGGCAACGATCGTCTGCCTTGAGTAACTCAGCCTCCCCTGGATGTCCAGGCCTTACTGCCTCTGGAGCATTTTTGTGTGTTTGTTTTGTTGTCTGGTCAGAAAGTTTGCCTTTACACTTTGCTTCACTCTCCCTGCAGATACTCCTCCACCTGTTACAGAAACCCCTAACTTGGCCGTGTTGATTTTCTCTCAATTTCAACCACTCTGCTTCCTCCTAGCTGGTATGTCAGAGACAGAAAACTCATCTCAAGATGCCTTGGGCCTCAGCAAATTGGGAGGACAGGCTGAAAACAATGAAAAGTAAGGTTTTTGTTTATCTCACTGAACAGTTTTCAGTTGTTCCTGATTTTTAATTAATGTTTATTGATTAAATGGAATATCCAGCTCTCTCTATATATTATCTTCTGAAAGCTTAACCCAAAGCCTTTTATTAAACTGCTCTTTCTGGAGGACTTAGAGCATCTGAACTAGATTCTCAAGCTGGGGTTCCATGAGGTCTCCCCACCTAAAGCCACTGTCCCCTTCTACATTGGGGCTTTATAGGAACTTGTGGGCCCAGGGAGGTGATTTCACTGCTGCAGCCCCAGGTTCAAAGGGAACTAAGATCCCACAAGACGATTGGCTTGGCCAAAGGAAAAAACAAAAGATAGGAGTTGTCTAGTGACATATTGGATAACATTTTCCATTACCATTTTCATCCACATTTATTTCAGCATTTTTATTACCTGCACTTAATTTAGTTTAAATCTAATTTAATATATTAAGAAAAAGACTTATCACAATAGTAGTTAAAAACTTCCTGGAGAAAAATCATGACAAAAAGGAATATAGAAAAAACATTTCACCAAACATCATAATCAGAGGAAGAAAACACTGGATGCATTTCCTTCTGAAGGTGCAGTGAAGGCTGCGGGCCAGGGCTCCTGCCTTTCACCACTGTACAGCGTGCCTACAGAGAGTGTGTCAGAGAGCTGGAACTATTAACAATCACAAATCTACAGTCATGGAAAGGCCAAGTGTGAAAGGTGGAAAAAGACATTCCATCCTAAAGAGACCCGAGGTGACTACACAGTGTCGGACAATATAAAGACAAAAGCTGATACAAGAGATGGACAATATATACTGTTAAAAGAATCAATTCACCAGAAGATATACATGTAACATTAGAGCTCCCCCCAAAAATTAAGGAAACAATACCCCAGTTTTTTCGATGGGTGGAACCAAAGAGAACATCAGTAAGGAAACAGAGGACTTGAACAACACTATAGACCAACTGGACCTAACAGACATGTACAGATCACTCTACCCAACAAAACCAGAAAACACACACTTCTCAAGAAAAATCTTTTTTTTTGCAGTATGCAGGCCTCTCACTGTTGTGGCCTCTCCCGCTGCAGAGCACAGGCCCAGCTGCTCCGCAGCACATGGGATCCTCCCGGACCGGGGCACGAACCCGTGTCCCCTGCATCAGCAGGCAGACTCTCAACCACTGCGCCACCAGGGAAGCCCTAAAAGAAATCTTAATTGTGTTCTGAGTCTTAAATCTCAAACTACAAAGCAATGAAATTAGAAATAAACAGCAGAATGAAAACAGAAAAATCCCCAAAATATGGAAATAAAACAACGTATTCATAAATAACCAATGGGTCAAAGAAGAAATCACAAAGGAATTTTTAAATATCTGGATGAAAATGAAAACATACAAAAATTTATAAAACGTAGTGAAAGCTGTACTAACAAGGAAGTCAAATCAGAAATCTGTTTTTACTAAAGGAGAGAAGAAGAATAAACTAAAATTTAACAAAAGGAAAGAGGTAAATAAAGGTTAGACCAGAGATAAATGTACTATAATGAATATAAAAGTCAATATAAAAGTAAAAACTATGAGTTGGTGTTTTGAAAAAAATTTACAAAACCTTGGCTAGAGTAAGAAAAAAAAGATTTAGATAACTAAAAACATGAAAGAGGAGAGAGTTCAACTGTGGTCACAGAAATGTTTTTTAAAACTGTAAGGGGTCCTGTAAACAATAATGCTTACAAGAACAATAATGCTTACAAATTATATAATCTAGAAGATACAGGTAAACTCATGAAACATACAACCTACTAAGCTCTCGTCTTTAATAAAAAAATTGAAAAGAATTATAACTAGAGAGGTTCAAGCAGTAATCAGAAATCTCAAACAAGGAAAAAGCCAAAACCAGATCACTTCACTGCATAATTCTACCAAACCTACCAAACCTTTACAGAAGAATTACCTCTAATCCTGAATTAAAAAAAATTTCCGAAGAGCTGTAGAGGGAACGCTGGCAAACTCATTCTATGGAGCCTGCATGATTCTATACCAAGCCCAGAGAAAGACACACGAAGCAAAGTACAAACCAATATCCCCGATGAATACTGAAGCAAAAATCCTCAACAAGATAGTACCAAACCAAATTCAAAAACACATTAAAATGACTTTACATCATGACCAAGTGGACTTCATTACTATAAAAAAATCGATTAATGTGATACACCACATTAACAGAATAAAGGAAGAAACACACGATCGTCTCAATTGATGCAGAAAATGCATTTCACAACTATGTTTCAAGATATAAAAACTCTGGGAATTCCCTGGCGGTCCAGTGGTTAGGACTCGGCACTTTCACTGCCGTGGCCCAGGTTCAATCGCTGGTCGGGGAACTAAGGCCCCACCACAAGGCCAAAAAGAAAAAAAGATATAAACACTCAGCTAGAAAGCTTTCCTTCTCAGATCAGGAAGAAGGCAAGGATACACGCTCTCTGCACCACTGTCCAGCAAAGTACAGAAAGCCCTCACCAGAGAAATTAGACAAGAAAAAGAAAGTTACCCGAGTTGAAAAAAGTAAAATTATCTTTCTTCGTAGATGATAACTTTTATATGTAAAAACAGTAAAGATTCCACGAGGAAACTGCTACATCAGAAAACAAGTCTAGAAAAGTTGCAGGATACCAAAAGTCCATGTGCAAAAACATCACGAAATAATCAAGATGGTGTGGTACTGGCATAAAAAGATATGTAATTTTGCATATACATAGAACGCATTTTCAAGGGTGCCAAGACCACGCAATAGAAAAAGGACAGTCTCAGTAACAAACGGTGCTGGGAAACCGGGTATCTACCAGCAAAAGTGTAAAGCTGGAACCTTACCTGCATCAGAATGAGAAACTTCTGTGTGTCAGCAACCAACAGTGAAAAGTAACCTCCAAGGACCAGAGATGATCAAAATGGGCTAAGAATCTCCATGTGTCAGAGATTTAGGTTGATTTCAAAGTTTAAAATCAATAATAGAATGAAACACCCTCTATCACTGATGTATCTCTGAACTTTCCATTCCATTCCCAATCCGATTTTTAAATCAGTGACACACCCATTTCGCATCTAATGCAGCATGAAAAGCAGAAGGTATTTGCTGTAATTAGTCTGTTTGCTACAATTTACCAGGCATAAGTGCATATTATTACCTGACTTGCATGTGCAGCTTCTTTATCCTGGTTTTCAGAGAGCAGACAGTGCATCCAGATGGGGCCCCTCAGTAATCCCTGCTGCCCAGTAGCACCGACACCCTATCTCCAGTCCATGGGTGTGAAGCCCTGCCCAGGACTAGGCCTAGTGGAGCCTCTTCACAAGTCCCAGGTCATGGGGAGACGGGATCTAAGTGGAGATGACAGGCCCTGAGGGAAGGACCCGGGTGACTGTACAGGTGTCAGGCAGGATACTTCAGAGTCAGACAAGATCAGCGAGTCCAAAGAAGGGCATTTCTGGAAAGACAGACAGAAAAATCAACTGAGAGTCCAAAGAAGGGCATTTCGGGAAAGACAGAAAAATCAACTGAGAATATGACTTTACCCGAGAAAGAGCCATTTCTGACTCCTTTTCTTTCCTCTCCCTCCTTTTCCGGGCTTCTTCCTCAGACAAGAGTCTTTAGAGGTCGATCCTGAAAGTGGAAAACAGGCTGTTTAATGCTTGCAATCAACACACCCCCTTCCTGAGTCACCACCACACACACAGGGAAGCCCTCAGCATGTGGAACAGACGGTCCTCTGCTACCCACCGTCCCAGGAGGGACTCAGGACAGAAAACTCCCACACAGAGACCAACAAGTAAGTTCCTACACTTTTTTTTTGTTCAGTGCATGACAAATCTTTGAAGATCAAATAGTGTAGCTTATCCCTTTTTTAACTGAAGTATATATATATATAATTTATTTATTTATTTATGGCTGCATTGGGTCTTCGTTGCAGTGCATGGGCTTCTCATTGCTTGTTGCGGAGCCCCCTTGTGGCGCACAGGCCTAGCTGCTCCGGAGCATGTGGGATCTTCCCAGACCAGGGCTCGAACCCGTGTCCCCTGCATTGGCAGGCAGATTGTTAACCACTTTTTCAGATTATTTTCCATTATAGGTTATTAAAGATACTGAATATAGTTCCCTGTGCTATACAGTAGATCCTTGTTGTTTAATTATTCTATATGTAGTAGTTGTTTAATATTCTATATGTAGTAGTGTGTATTTGCAAATCCCAAACTCCTAATTAATCTCTCCCCCTCCCTTCCACCTTTGGGAACCATAAGTTTGTTTTCAGTGTCTGTGAGTCTAGTTCTGCTTTGTCAATAAATTCATTTGTACCATTTTTTTAGATTCCACATATATGGGTCTGTGTCTGATTTACTCCACTTAGTACTGTTACCAAAATGCAAGTCCGTGTGCTAGACGTCTAGCACAGCGAGGCCAAACAATACCAAAATGTTGGAGTTTGGAACAGAAAGGTTTGCTGCAGGGCCATGCAAGGAGATGGGTGGCTCATGCCTTAAAAACCCCAAACTCCCTGAAAGCTTCCAGCAAAGCCCTCTTATAGGAACGGTGAGGGAGGGGTGTGGTTACAGACCTCTTGGTGGCAGATCCTTTGTACTTGAGGTCAGGTCGTGGTCAGGTAAAGATGTTCCTGTAAACCTCCACCAAACAAATGTTACTCTCTGTCCTGACAAGAAAGGGGAAGGTGCCAAGACACAACTTTCACCCTCCAAGGTCCAGGCCTGGCTAACAGAAAGGGGTCCCTGCAGGGGGGCCAGTTACCCTGCCCCGGAGCACTCGTCCAGAACCAGGTTTGGGTCCTCCCAGTGCCCAGGCCTGGCTGAAGAAGCAGATCTCAGTTGGCAGCTCCCTCAGGGCCAGGTCCCCGTGCAGACTGCTGCGGCCATTAGGGCAGCCTAATGGATCCCCGCAAGAGACACCCCGTTCCCTTGGCCTCCCAGCTCACCTGCTGGCCCAAGGAGAAGGGGAGGGGAGAAGGCCGGGATCCCTCTCTTACTTCCCTCTCTGCCTGACGACCGCCACTCCGCGGACATTTGGCTGAATGGGTCCATTAAATGTCACTCATTAATAGCTGGTCCCTTGAGGGAAGGTTTCACTGTGGCGCCGACCAATGGCTGAACGGGAGCTCTAAGGCCACTCCAGCCATCCCTTCAGTGGTCTCCTGGTAACCGTTGCCTGGTAACGGGGGGGGGGGGAAGAGCGTGCGCCAAGGGCCCTGTGCTAAGGGCTGCGCACTGCTGGGCTCTATTACAGTGTGACCATCTCCAGGTCTGCACCAGCAGTACTCTGCGTTTCCATTTCATTCTGCTTATCGGTCTCCCTGTTGCTTTCTGTCTCTGTCTTTTTGCTCCCCTCTAGTCTCCTGCTGTTTCTCCCCTCCTATTTTCTCACTCCTGTCCTGCCCCACTCTGCAACTTGTGCCCCTATTGATGCTCTTTCTCCCCGACCTTTCTGATGACCCTACATCTCTGTGTATTTCTGCCTCTTTCTTCCCCCATCTCTTCTCTCTCTCTGTCCCTGTTATTCTCCCTCCCCACTCTCTGGCGCCCCCTGGTGGCTGTGCTTCCTTCCTGCTCTCTCTCTTCCTCTGCTCTCCTCGTTTCTCCTCTTCTTTTCCTCTCCCAGCATCAAGTTGCTCTGTAGGACACGGGTTCAGCTCTTTTATCCCCTCCCCCGACTCTCCATGGGAAATGCCTCACCACGGTTGACCATCGATGCTGTTACCACTGATCAAGGGCTCCTCTCGTATTTTGCCTTAATCCCTTCACCTTCATCTCCCTGGAGATCCCAATTTTCTATACACTCTATTTTACTCATCTACTTTCACTGCTTTTTCTCTTTCATTCTTACCATCTCTTTGCAAGACGCTCACCCATCCTCTACACTGCCCTCTGACCTTGCCCACTCTTCTTTTCCCCTCAGTTTTCTATTGCTCTCTCAGTCCCTCTCTGTGTCTTCTGATCCCCGCTGCCCACAGAGTCAGAGGATGTGGAATGGAGTAAGGTGCCTGCTTCCTGGGAAAACAGTGATGAAATAAAAACTCACAGTTTAAGGCAAGACAGGAAAAATTTGAATTTAAATTAAATTCCTTCTCCTTCATCAGTAATGACTCAGCACTCACCCCGTATATCTAGACATCTTCAGTGAACTTTATGTACAATAACAATATATCATTTACCTTAAAGATAACACCAGTCCTGGGGAGGTACTGGGCCGCACCTAACAGAAGCTCTTTTAAGTACTTACTTAGGACCGTATTAATTTACTGTACTACTTGCGTTCTGCCTGTTTTACAGGATTGTTTCTTGCATTACCAAGTGTGTGACTGAGCCTCCGGTAAAAATGATGACTAGGCGACTTGAAACAAGTGACCAAATATATAGTCTTATAAGACCAATGATTTTAATAGCGTAACTCTACATATGGGAAGAAGCAACAAGAGAGAACCATTTCCTGGACCACAACAGACTGGTAAGACACCATGCAGAGGCCTTTGGCTACTGTTGTATTAGGGGCAGGGCGCATGCGGGACGTCGCCGGTGCAGTGTGGCAGTGGCCCTGTGGCCACAGTCTCCTCGGGCCGCAGTCCAGCTCCCATTTGCCCACTCGCCCCCTTTGCCGGCGCAGTCACCAAGCCTGCAACAACCAACCACGCAGCACCCCTCCTCTGTTTAAAAGGAGCCCGAAATCTGACTGGGGGAAGATGGCTCGTGGAGACACTGGTCCGCCCTCTTCTTTCCCAAATAAAAAGTCGCTCTGCCTTGCCCCAGCAACTCGCCTCTCAATTTACTGGCCTGTCGTGCAGCAAGCAGAACGACCTTGGACTCTCTATCAATTTTGGCGAAGCCGGCCAGGAGCCTTGCTGCTTGTGGTCAGCCCCGGTTGGGGATTTTCGGGTAAGGCCCTAACAGCTGCTGGGACCGCTTGTCCTGAGGATCTTCCCTTTAAAATTCCCTAAAGCGGCACCAGATGCCCCAGCGCTTGGCAGTGGGAGCAAGGAATCGACATCTGGGAGCTCCATACAGATGGAATCGACGGGCTCCAGACAGTAGGTATGTCTGATGTGTACAACTGGGAACATACCACCCTCCCAATTTCGGCTTTTCCTGTAAGGGAACAGCCAAGTTGTTTTGCATTTGACTGGGGTACCCTGTTGCAGAGGGGAATTTTTGTTGCAACTCTGTGAACCTGTTTGTTTTGCTTTTGTTTTGCATTCATTCACGATGGAATTTGTTTGTGCCTTTTGTGTTTTGTTGCTCTTGAACTTATAAATATATCTGTCCCTAAGGAAAGCCCTTTGGGGCGTATCTTAAATGAATGGGCAAAGTATAGTTATGGGCCTGTGACTAAAAAGAGATGATATTCTATTGTATAGTGTGTGGCTCCAGTACATGTTAGGATCAGGAGAGCAATGTGCCCTGAATGGCTCACTTATACAATCTTGCAATTAGAATTGAGCAGGTAAAAATGATGAGATTCCATATGTAGAAGCATTTACGCTATTTCATCATGAGGAAAAGAAGTGAGACAGCTGCTGCCTTATGGTACAGTGGTATGAAAGGAAAACCAGGGGAAAATCTGTTCTACAAGAGGGAGAGGGAGAAATGAGACTGAGAACATGTTATCAAAACACTGGCCAAGCAGGCTGCACCAGTGGTGGTTCCGACTGCCCCCATGCCACCAACACATTCACTCCTTTCACCACCTCCTGTTTCCCCTACTTATGGGGATCAATTAGAAGTTTCTGTGTTAACCTCTGGGGCACAGGGCCCTAGTTTGTATCACCCCAAGAGGGCATCCCATGTGACCAGGAGCCACTTCTGGGGCAGGAAATTTCCCTTGCACTGAAATCCTGGAGGAGGAGGCCTTAATGCAGATGGCCAGTCAGCTGGGTTTCTATGGATGCACCATCCATTCTCAATTTGATTTATTTAACTGGAAAAACCATAACCTACATACCTCCACATGACTGAACTTTTCACTTCTATCTTTGCCACTCACCATCCCTCGTGGGCGGACATTCACACTTTTATGAATATGATGTTTACTGGGGATGAAAGGAGGATGCTCAGTGACAAGACTAGAGAGGAAGTGCACTAGCTCCATCTAGCGGACCAGGTGGAACTCCAGAAGCAAATCAGGCAGTTCCTACTGCTGAGCCTACTGGGAACCTAATAATGGAGATATGCCGCACCTAGAGCATTATAGGAAATGTATCTCAGCGGGTCTTCGAAAGGGAGTAGCTAAGCAAAAGAGCTTCAACAAAATTCAAGAGATACACCAAAACCCAATGAGGACCCATCTGAGTTTCTAGAAAGAATTTATCAAGCTTATAGGCACTACACTGATGCAGACCCTGAGGCCCCCCAAAATACGGGAATGGTAAATATTACCTTCATTGGGCAAAGCACCCCAGATATAAGAAGAAAATTACAAAGCTAGATGGTGCATTTGGAATGAACCCTTCTCAACTGGTAGATGTTGTTTTTCAAGTGTTCACCAACAGGGAACAACGAAAGGAGCTCTTTACAAGACTTCTTAACGCCACTTATCTGGTGCTAGCACTGGATTCCCAGAAGGCGAGTAGCCTGGAGAGAGGTGAGCCCCATTGGGGAGGGAACAGTATGCTTACTGTAAGGAGGAAGGGCACTGGAAAAGACTGCACTCAGCTAAGGAGTAAGAAGGAAAACAACAAAAGAACGACGGGAGCCTCTCCTATGGTAGAGAGAGCGCAACGCTCTGAGATGAATAAAGTGGCCCAGGGGCTCCCTTGGACTTGAGGTGTCCAATTCCAATTTCCCCACAGGAGCCCCGGGTAACTTTGACAGTGGGGGACAAGCTGACTTTCTGATAGATACCGGTGCAACATACTCCGTGGTAAACAGCACGGTGGCACAGAAAACATCTCAATCCATCCCAGTCACAGGAGTTTCTGGAGAAGGACAAAATCTTTCTTTCCTATAACCTCTAGAATGCTAATTAGGGGACCTCACCCTGAAACGCAGTTTCTTTTATATGTCGGTGTGTCTGATCAGTCCCTCTTCTGTAAATTAAGCACTCAGGCAACTTTTTCGCCAGAACAGCTTGACATCAGGGTCCCACAGGAGCACACTGTAAGCCTAAAGATGGCGCTCATGGACACCCCAGAAAAGGAGACTGAGCTCTCACCCACTCCACCCCCATTCCCCCCGCTCCAGGTCTATGAAAAGCTAAGGCAGAAGTGTGGGTCAGTGGCACCCCAGGGAAGGCCAAAAATGCATGGCCAATACTGGCCAATACAAATCATGTTAAAAAGGGACTCTGGAGGGAATTCCCTGGTGGTCCACTGGTTAGGACTCGGTGCTTTCATCGCGGTAGCCCGGGTTCGATTTCTGGTCAGGGAACTAAGATCCCGATCCTGCAAGCCGCACAGCGTGGCAAAAAAAAAGGGATGCTCTGGGACACCTGATCGAAAACAATACCCTCTGAGCCAAGGGGCCCAAAAGGGAATTTAGCCAGTTCTCAAAAAGTTGGTTTAATCAGGTTAAACCTTGCAGGTCCCCATATAAAACCCCTATCCTCCTAGTCAAACAGCCAAACTCAACAGAGCATCTCTTTGTCCCAGACTTGAGGGCTACTAATGAAAAAATCCAGGATTTGCACCCTGTGGTATACAATCCATACGCTCTGCTCACAGCTATTCCAGGAGGAAACAGCTGGTTCTGTTTTGGACGTGAAGGATGCTTTTTTTCTGCATTCCTATTGCAGAAGAATCACAGCAGCTGTTTGCTTTTGAATGGCAGGACCCAGAAAGACAGGTAGTCCAACAGTATTGGTGGACGGTCCTTCCTCAAGATTTAAGGATTCCCCTACCTTGTTTGGGGAAATGTTGGCTGGGGACCTTAGAGACTTAATATTGGATGAAGGACTCTTCCTCCAAAATGTGGACCATTTGCTCATAGCGAGCCCTACGAATGATAAGTGTCTACAAAATACCATCAGAACCCTGAGCTATTTGGCCGACTGTGGATGTAAGGTCTCCCAGAAAAAGGCTCAAGGATGTAAGCAACAAGTCACGTAGCTGGGTTTTTTATCCTTTCCCAAGGGCAGCGGGGTCTTTTGCTTGATAGAAAGCGGGCAGTTGCAGGCTTGGGAACACCCAAGAGTTGCAGATAACAGGGCGTTTCTGGGAATGGCAGGATTCTATCGGATCTGGATTCCGAACTATAGGCTCAGAGTAAAGCCCCTCTATAAGGCTTTAAGGACATGATTTTGAGCCCCTTACTTGGACTAAAGAGTGCCAAACAGCCTTTGAAACAATAAAAACAAAGTTAGTCTCAGCTCCGGCTTTGGGACAGCCGGACTGAAAGAAACCTTTAAGATTATATGGCCATGAGAGACAAATCTTGGGGTGTTAATTCAAATTCTGGGGAATGTCCTTCGACCTGGTGCCTAATTCTCAAGACAACTAGAACACATGGTTAAGGGATGGCCACTGTGCCTTTGAGCTGTAGCAGCTCCTTGCAACAGACTTCCGGAAGCTGAGCAGTTTACCCTGGGCAACCCACCACTGTGTATGTCTCTCACCATGTCCTTTCTTTACTGGAACAAAAAGGGGGGCTACTGGCTGACTTCTGGGAGAATGGGAAAGTACCAGGCCATTCTCTTAGACAATCCCAATGTAACATCTCAGGTCACTTCAGCCCTAAAGCCAGCCACCATCGCTCCCGACTGCGGCTGCACAATCCCCAGAGCACAGCTGCCTGCGCGTCGTGGGGCTGGTGTGCTCCGGCAGACCAGGCCGAACAGACAGCTCCTGGCTGAGGCAGGCACGGACGGACCTGTTCACAGTAGGTGACGTGCTGGGTATGTGGTGGTTAACCCTTGAAAGGACTGACTCTCGCTATGCATTCTCCGTGGGGCATGCTCACGGCGCCATCTGGAAAGAAAGGGGGCTCCTCACTTCAAACAATAAAGACATAAAACATGCTTCTGAAATCTTGTCCCTGTTAGAAGCAGTCCACAAGCCCTCACAAGTGGCCGTAATGCACCGCCCAGGCCACCAGAAGGGTGAGACTCATATAACAAAAGGCAACCGGTTAGCTGACCAAGCTGCAAAGAAAATAGCAAAGGCAGGCGATTACCAAGCCATCATAGGGTCACTTCTCCCGCAGACTGACTTGTCAAAATACCAGCCGGAATATTCAGAAAAGGACGAGGAGAGGGCCGAAGAGAGGGAATTCACTCTTGATCACACCTCGCCTGGCTAGAAATGTAGTGCACATGGAACTGACTTGATTTCTGAGGCTCTCGCGGACACTGCTGCAGCACATTCGTAACAGTACCCACCACGGGAGAGATGCCGCCTTACAGTGCGATTCAAAAGTATATAATGGGGCCTGACCTACAGAGGGCCATCCAGGGAGTCACTGAAAATTGCATGATTTGTGCTAAAAATAACCCAAATACTGCTGTCAGATCTCCCCAGATGGGGACCCAACACAGAGGACTCCGCGAGCCACCAAGGACTGGCAAATAGACTTTACTCAAGTTGATAGGGACAGAGTAAAGGGACAAAGTAGGCGGTTGAATAGTTAATCCCACTAGGGGAGTGCAAGTAAAGAAAAAAGCATGGGAGACCCCTGTTAAGTTAATGATCACTCAAATGAGCAGGTTTGCTTAACCACAAAACCAAGCAACAGAAGCCTGAGACACGCCCCCGAACAATAAAACAAGGGTCGCCTGAGACCCACATCTGCCCAGTGAGCTCAGTAAGTTGACCCCTAGACATGCTCCTCTGCGCACACTAAAAACAAGTATATAAGGAGAAGGTGACATGCTGAAACCTGAGATGGTTTATCATATTTTAGTATATGTTACCACCTTTTTTCCTCACTTCCGTTGCTCCATGACAGTCCCAGTTTGGCCATGTAGGGACAAGAAAAATCCCCCACCTGATGTGGAGGCAGAGCTGAGGATGGAAGCTTGACGTCTACTCAAGAATGAGGAAGGAGGTGGTCCTCTCCCCCTCCCCACTTCTCCTTTGATTATAAAACAGGAGCCCACTAAGTTCTGGGGGCGGCACCTTCTCGCCCACCCGCAAGCCTCACAAGCATGCTAGTCTAATAGATCACTTTGCCTCTCCCTGAAGAACGAGCTCCTCAGAGCCCCCCAAGACACATTTCAGTGGTTTCAGCTGGCGACCACAAAGGGGCAGTGGTAAGATAAGGAGGAGGGGGGTCGGGTCCTAGAGGGGCTGTGGATGCCAGGAGGACTGGGGAGGGCACTCCCCCAATGTGTGCCCCTTTTAGGCGGCTGGTCAACCCCGAATGCTTTAGGACTCTGATGAGAGATCTAGATACAGACCAGAGGAACAATGATATGGATGTTTAGAGACACAGAACCAGAGGAATGCTGGCAGTCAGCATGGCTTGCCACAGAAAGATGCTGTGCATGTTTAGGGACCCGGAAGGACACATACATTCTGGGTCTGTCCCTGTTGTACTCAAGTCTGTAAACTTAACTATTCCAACTGTTATTTATAAGCTGATAAGTTTTGTTTTGCAATGCCTGTCTTATGAACAAGTTTTAAAATGAAACTATGAGATCTCTGTCTGTCTGGATATATGTGTGTCTTATGTGGTCTTGTCTTTAGATAGTATTGCTAAGGTTAATTTGTAAATGAGCTCAATTTAATTGGCTTAAAAAAATAAGTGCTTACAAATTAAACATTTCTGAATACAAGAGAAACTAAGCTAAATGGATTTCAGGTTCACATGACCTGAGAAATATTTAATATTAAATTAATATTTGGTATTAAAGTTTGTTGTTATTAAAGTTTGTTAATTAATATAGACATGTCTTTAGAGTCATCAACATGAAGCACAGTATTTTTATTGTACCTGGGTTTGCTGAAAGTCACTAAGTTCATACTATTTTTGTTGTAAAATCTGTCAGCAAGAACATTAACCCCTCATTGTCAGACTTGTACTTGTAGCATGGCCACTGTCTGCTCCTAAATGAGCGAACTTAAATGGGTAAATAACAGCTGCAAATTGAACAGTCAGGGCTATGGGAAATCCAAGACAGCCACTTGGCTTCTCCTGGATCCCTGGCAAACCCCATTTTTTATTTAATGGTTTAAACCCTTTCTTGGCTACAAGGCTGATACCCTCACAGTGGAAAAAAGAATGGTTTAAAAACGTGTTTTGGGCTTCCCTGGTGGCGCAGGGGTTGGGAGTCCACCTGCCGATGCAGGGGACACGAGTTCGTGCCCCGGTCCAATCCCACATGCCGCGGAGCGGCTGGGCCCGTGAGCCATGGCCGCTGAGCCTGCGCGTCCGGAGCCTATGCTCCGCAACGGGAGAGACCACAACAGTGTGAGGCCCGCGTACCGCAAAAAAATAAAATAAAAACGTGTTTTTCACTTGGGTATAGTTTCTATAAATTTTAGTGATCAAGGCAACCACTTTACTGGACAAATTATAATACAAGCCTATGTTATTAATTAACCAGACTTATTTTACAAATTAATCTTAATTTGGCTATATTTGGTAAAACTGAGGGTTATTTAGAAAAGAAAAAATTATGTTTTAACAGATATTAAATTTCAGTTTTGCTAACTGAGGTCAGTATCTACTGTCTTTATTAAAACTCACTTTTCAAATAGCTCTTTGTTGCTATATTATTCTAAAGCTTAATTGAGTTAAGATATTCTAAGCTTGTTTCTGAAGATGATCACGTAATCTATCTTTGGATGAAGATTAGATGCCCATAATCTATAACCAGGGGATTATACATACTAGAAAAAGCATCATTTAAAGGACTGTGTCCGTCCTAGATAAAAGGCCTCTTAACAGGTATTCTTAAGCACGTCATGCACAAGGAAACTGAAGGGAATCAACTTCAAGACTTAAGGTACTTTCCCCCGAATTACTAGAAGTGCCCAACGGAGGAGTGCCCTGATGTCGGTCATCCCCTCCCTACGCCCCTTACAGGTGCTGACCCTTTATTTCCAATTTACGGTCAGACCAGTTCCCACTGTTAACACCATTGGGGACACCTTCTGTACTATTCCTTTGGCCATTAACACCAGGCTGGGAGACTACTTTGGAAGGGATACATCTAAAGTAGTAAGTACAAATCTTGATTAAATTGCACGGTGGATTTTGACAAAGGAAGGAAACTTTTGGATAGCTAACTATTGCTCCGGTGGAAGGTGCTATAGCCATGGAAGTGGCTGCTCCAATAAGGGCTATCTCACAGGCAGGAGCCCCTGCTCCAAATGAGGCCCTTATCCCAGGGGAAAGCGCACCCAAGGGTGAGGAGGGAGAGGCCAAATTCAGGAGCTCCTTCTCTGTACCCCACGGGGCCCAGTCTTGGACCAGCGAGCACCCGCAGTGGCATAAGTCACCAGCCAACTGCCCCTACCGTTCTGCCTCTGAGAGGAAGTTGCTGACAGAAATCGAGGAAACATAGAAGTCCGTGTGCCTTGCTCAATGTCTGATCTAAGTCTGGCAGAAGATCAACTGGGAAGTTTTTCTGAGGACCCTGAACTTTGCACGAAGGAGTTTACCCGGTTAATGAGATCTTCTGATGTCACTTGGGGGGATTTGCAGAGTTTACTCTCCCGTGCTGCACCCCAGAGGAGAAACAGCGTATAACCCTGGCAGCCAGCCACAGCCCAGCAGGGCCAGTCACTACACCGGGTGGGGAACGACGCTGTCCCCGAGGCAGATGCACGATGCCTTCTCAGGTAAATTCCACTGATAGGGACGGATGAGACCATGTGATTGTTCAACAGAGGCTATGAAACAATGTACAGTGAAACCTGTCAATTATGAACAAGTGAAAGAAGTCCAACAGGGGTCAGATGAAAATCTGATCATATTTCACGAAAAGTTAATAGAAGATTTTTAAAAGTATATAAATGTGGATCCGTCCTCCCCCAAGGCACAGGCCTTTTGGCTATACATTTCACAGCCCAGTCTGCCCCAGACATCAGGCGCAAGATTCAAAAGGCAACTGCTGGCCCTCAGACCCCTATGAGTGATTTGCTCCAATTGGCTTATTCAGTTTTCAGTAATAGGGATACGGCCGAAAAGGCTGAACACACCCAGAGAAATATATACAAAAGGCCCAAATGATGGTAGTGGCTTTGTCCACTCAGAGCCCCCCGAAGGGGAGGCCGGCCTTTCTGGGCCAATCTGGCTGTGGTGGACCACAAGGCCCATGGGTACCCAAACAGTTTGGGACCAGTGTGCCCTGTGTGGACCAAAGGGACACTGGAGGAAGGGCTGTGACACGCACCCTTTACAGCCAGGGCATTGGAGGAGGGAATGCCCCAGACGCCAGAGAGTGACGGGGGCCTTTGATGGTTTCACAATCAGAACACTGAGGGGGCTCGAGGCTGAAAGTGGCTCTGCCTACAGATACCATGTACATAACTAGTGTCGAGCCTTGGGTGGTCACTAAGTGGTGGGCCATGATAGAATCGGTGCAACCCTTTCAGTCTTAACCAAAAGGATTAGAAGCCTTAACAAGTATAAGAAATATGTAATGGGAGTGTCGGGAAAGAGACGGGGGCACACTTTCCAGGAACCCCTTTTGTGCAACAGCAACGGCCGGTCGTTTCTACATTGCTTTCCGTTTGTGCCTGACTGTCCCCTCTCTTTAGTGCAAGGGACTCACTAAATTAGGGGCCACCCTGTCTCTCGAGGGACAAGGAAGCCACCCTTACCATCAAATGATATTAACAAGAAACAAGATTAAATCTATAACTGAGATAAAAGACTCAACAGAGGGCTTCCCTGGTGGCACAGTGGTTGAGAGTCCGCCTGCCAATGCAGGGGACGCGAGTTCGTGCCCCAGTCCGGGAAGATCCCACATGCCGCGGAGCGGCTGGGACTGTGAGCCATGGCCGCTGAGCCTGCGCGTCCGGAGCCTGTGCTCCGCAACGGGAGAGGCCACAGCAGTGAGAGTCCCGCATACCGCAAAAAAAAACCAAAAAAGAGAGCAGGCTTGCTTAGCAATAAAACCATGCAACAGAAGCCTGAGACACGCCCCCAAACAATAAAACAATGGTGGCCTGAGACCCACATTCTGCCCAGTGAGCTCAGTAAGTTGATGACCCCTAGGACACACTCCTGCACACACTAAAAACAAAATATAAGGAAAAGGTGACATTATGCTGAAAGCTGAGATGACTTAACATAGTATATGTTACCACCTTTTTGCTCATTTCCGTTGCTCCACGACAGTCCCGGCTTGACCACGTAGGGACAAGAAAACTGCCCCTCTGGACGTGGAGGAGTTTTCCCTTGATTATATAGAACTGTAGCTAAGTTCCCAGGGCGGCACCCTCTCACCGGCCCCGGAAGCCTCACCAACGTCCTTATCTATCACTTTGCCTCTCACTGCATTCTTTCTGCGCTGAGAACCAGAGCTCCTGGGAGCCCCCTGAGACACATTTCTGCAGCATCAGAATGCCTCGAGCCACAGGAAATTTCAGGTTATCTGCTCAGGATGGGTGGAGGCCTATCCCACCCAGACAGAGAAAAAGCCTCTGAAGTGGTTAAAGCCCTCAAGGAAGTCATCCCCTGATGTGGACTCTGCCTAACACCCTTCAAAGTGATAACGGGTCTGCTTTTCTCTTGAGCAACACCCAACAAGGGTCTAAAGCCCTGCAAATTAATTGGAAGCTACCATTTAAAAAGGAGCATTGCTGGGACTTCCCTGGCGGTCCAGGGGTTAAGACTCCGAGCTCCCAATGCAGGGGGCGTGTGTTCGATCCCTGGTTGGGGAACTAAGATCCCACATGCCACGCAGCCAAAAAAAAGAAAAAAAACCAAGACCCTACTCCTGAAAGGCCCAGATAGCAATGGGTTGGTGAACACTTAGAAGACAAGGTTGCTCACTGGGCCTGGGAACGAGCATTCCTAGTACTGTGGGACAAATTGGTCACAAAATGCCTCCCAAATGTTGGATGAAATTAAGACCGAAAGGGAACAGATTGTAAAAGAATGTTGCCCATCATCCAGTTCTACAAGATCCAAGACATTAGCCACCGCGGTCACTGACCTGCAGCCACCCTGACAGGAATTCCGGGCAGAGAGCAGGATGAGGCACTGGGAAAACTGGCAGAACCGGCCTTCAGATAGTCAAGCGTTTGCAGGAAAAATTTTTATGAACCTGAGTTCTTACATCTTACCATAGTTATTAGCAAAGCACTAAAACCATTAACTAAGCTATGTGTTCCTCAAGAACAGCAGTTACCTTCTTCCAAGATGCGTGCCTGACTGCCTGTACCCCTTCCCAGCATCAGCTCTGCACCAGCCTTCCCCCTTCCCTCTTCAGCACAGTTCTCACAGCTCTCTAAGGGGCTGTCTCCGGGGTTATAATCCTCAGATGGGCAAAAATAAGTTTTTCACTTCTTTCTTAGATTGCCTATTGATTACTTTTCCGCTGATTGCACATTCTCCAGCGGGGTGGAATTTCAGACAGAAGAACACTGGGTGTCACAAGGCTGGCCCAGGTCACCTCTCCCTACACGGGGTGAGGGGAAGGGCTGACTAGGAAGGGGAGGCCTGCGGAGCAGAAGGACCGGCCTGAGGAGACGCGAGGACAGAGGGGCTGGGAGGGAAGGGGGGCGTCTCAGGAGAGGGGCGGGCTCTCCAGAACCCCAGGACCAGGGAGAGGACGTGGGCTCTCCAGGAGCGGGGCGACCGGCGCTGCTCTCAAGGGGCCGAGAGGGCCAGGCTGGGGGGCGCGAGTCCACCTTGTGGAAGGGGACGTTACATGGGGGGGGGCGGGGGAGGTCGTAAAGGGTTTTATGCAGGAAAACGACCCTAAAGGCGATGTCTACGTGGACCGGAGACCGAAAAGCTGAAGGAGGCAAATACACGCAAATATGTATCAATAATATTAAGCCATCGTTTTACACATCGTAACTCCCCACCCGTTACCTCTCTTACTCCTATCATTAAATCCCCAAATCATTTTAGGACCTTATACTGTAAGTATATTTTAAAAAAGAACCAACCAGTAGACTGTGAATCCAGTAACAGAAGACTAAATCTTATTTACCAAAAAAGTATGCAAGGACTGCTAATTCACGTGTCCATACCTGTTAGGATGGCTTTTTCAAGCTTCTAAAGGACAGGAGTTATCCACTGGTCTTGGGAACCGAAAAACTGCTGCAACTCCAAGTAAAAATAATAACTTGCTCACCTTTAGTCACACTATTCATACTAACAATGCCGATTACAACAACAAACTCCAACATTTACAGAAGTAATGTACATCCACCCCATGTGAAAACCACTATCTCATATGCTTTTATCACCAGCCTAATTCCAACAATACTTATTCTTACAGAACAAGAAGTATCTCAAACTGACAGTGAATCACAATCCGAACCTTATTATCACTTAGCTTCACAGGATTATTTCTCAATGTTTGTGCTGGCGGCACTAATTTGTCACATGATCTAGTATGGAATTCTCAATATGATACATACACTCAGATCCTAATATTAATCAATTTTTAAAATATTTACTCCTGTTTCTTATCCCAATACTAAATTCTTTTCCCCGACCAGGGATGCAACCCAGGCCCTCGGCAGTGAAAGCGCGGAGTCCTAACCCCTGGACTGCCAGGGAGTTCCCACAATACTAATTCGTGTTCCCACTGACAGTCTTCTCCAACTTTTCACTGGATGGGAAGGAGTCAGAATTATGTCTTTTCTACTTATTGGGTGATGCCGTGACAGAGCAGACGCAAATACGGCCGCTCTTCAAACAATTTTATACAACGCACTGGAGACACTGGATTCATTGTATCAACAGCATGATCTCTATTCAACAAATCTTTATACTGAACCTAAATCACCCAAATCTACCCGACAGGACTTGTATTAGCCGCAACTGGAAAACCCGCCCAAATTGGCCTCCACCCATGACTTCCCTCAGCAATAGAGGGTCCTACTGCCATCTCAGCCCTACTCCACTCGAGCACAACAGTTGTAGCAGGCATCTTCCTACTTATCCGCTTTTACCCTTTAATAGAAAAGAATACATTTATCCAAACAATAACATTATGTGTAGAAGCTATCACCGCATTATTTACAGCAATATGTGCTCAATTGTTGCTTTCTCCACTTCGAGTCAACTAGGCCTTATAATAGTAACAATCGGCATTAACCAGCCTCATCCAGCATTTCTCCATATTTGCACACACGCCTGTTTCAAGGATATACTATTCATATGCTCTGGATCGATTATTCACAGTCTAAATGATAGATAAGACATTCGAAAAGTAGGAGGCCTATGTAACGCAATGCCCTTCACCACAACAGCCCTCGTTATTGGAAGTCTCACGTTAACAGGATACCACTCCTCACAGGTTTCTATTCTAAAGATCTTATTATCGAATCCGCTAACATGCTGTATACCAACACCTGAGCCCTCTTAATAACCCCCATCGCCACATCCTCCACAGCTGTCGGTAGCACTCACGTTATTTTCCTCCCACTCCGAGGGCAACCGTGCTTGTCCAATTAATTTTACTTAATGAAGACAACCCGCTCCTAATCAACTCTATCACACGTCTACTAGCTGGAAGCAGTTTCTCCGGATTTCTTATCTCCAACAACATTCCCCCAACAACAATCCCACAAATAACTGTGCCTCCTTGCTTGAAACCAACTGCCCTTGCGGTAACCGTCCTAGGCTTTATTCTAGCACCTGAAATCAACCTTGCTGCATAAAATTTAAAACTTAATTATCCCTCAAACTTCTTCAAAATCTCAAAACTTTTAGGGTATTTTCCCATTATACACCACTTTCAGCAAGCCAAAAATCAGCATCTTCCCTACTGGATTTAATTCGACTAGAAAATATCTTACCAAAACCCAATTATCTTATTCAAATAAAATTTTCTACACTTGTATCAGACCAAAAAGGCCTAATCAAACTATACTTCCTTTCATTCCTCATTATCCTTACCCTAAGCATAACAGTATTTAATTACCATGAGTAACCTCTATAGTATCTGTAAGCAATGACCAACCAGTAACAATTACCTTGAATCAACTACCATAACTATACAACGCCACAATATCTATAGCCTCCTCACTAAAAACTCCAGAGTCGCCTGAATCATAAATCACTCAGTCCCCCAGTCCACTGAACAAATAAAATCTCTACTTCCTTGTCCTTTAAAGCACAGAAAATTCTATCACTTCATCAACTTTCTATTGTAAATTCTATCATTAATTCCAAAAAGATATACCTAAAACAGTTTTATTTGAAACTCAAATTTCAGGATACTGCTCAGTAGCCACAGCTGTTGTATAACCAAATACTACTAACATTTCCCCTAAAGAAATTAAAAACACCATTAAACCCAAAAGCAAACCACCAAAATTCAACACAATTCCACAACCAACACCACCACCCACAGTCAACCCAAGTCCACCATAAACAGGTGAAGGTTTAGAAGAAAAACCCACAAAACTAATTATAAAAATAGTACTTAAATACAATGTATGTTGCCATTATTCTTACATGGAATCTAACCACGGCCAATGACATGAAAAATCATCGTTGTATTTCAACTATAAGAACACTAATGACCAACATCTGAAAATCACACCCACTAATAAAAGTTATCAACAATGCAGTCATTGATCATCCAGCTGCATCAAGCATCTCATCAGGATGGACCTTTGGTTCTCTCTTAGGCATCTGTTTAGTTCTACGCATCTTGACAGGCTTATTCCTAGCAATACATTATACATCAGATACAGTAACTGCATTTTTATGAGTAACATATCTGCCAAGATGTAAACTAGAATCATCTGATACCTACATGCAAATGCAGCTTCCATGTTTTTTATTTGCCAATTCATTCATGTAGGACGAGGCTTATACTACAGATCCTATATCTTTTCTGAAATATGAAATACTGGAATCATTTTACTATTTACAGGTATAGCCACAGCATTCATAGGCTATGTCTTACCTTGAGGACAAACAGCGTTCTGAGGAGCGACAGTTACTACCAGTCTTCTCTCAGCAATTCCCTATATCGGCACAAGCCTTGTGGAATGAATCTGAGGCGGTTTTTCAGTAGACACAGCAACTCTAACACAATTCTTTGCCTTCCATTTTACCCTCCTCATTACAGCACTAGCAACTGTTCACTTATTCCTTCCAGAAATGGGCTCTAATAACCCCACAAGAATCTCATATGACATAGACAAAATCCCATTTCACCCCTACTATACAAAGACATCCTAGGTGTCTTATCACTGATTCTAATCTTAGTAGTATTCTCATCTGACCTGCCAGGAGACCCAGACAACTACACCGCAGCAAATCCCCTTAATACAGCACCACATATCAAGCCAGAATGATCCTTCTTATTCGCGTACGCAATTCTACGATCAATTCCCAATAAACTTATAGGAGTACTAGCTCTAATTCTTTCCGTCTTTACCCTAGCATTTACCCAGTACTCCATACATTGAAACAACGAAGCACAACATTCCAACCCCTCAGCCAATGCCTATTTTGAGTACTAGTAGCAGACCTATGGACACATGAATTGGAGGACAAACCCTAGAGGACCCGTTATTATCGAACAACAAGCATCCATTTTGTTTCTTTTAAATTCTAGCTCTAAGACCAGTAACTAGCATCATTGAAAATAATCTCCTAAAATGAAGAGTCTTTGTAGTATATTACCCTGGTCTTGTAAGCCAGAAAAGGAGAATAATAGACCTAAGACTCAAGGGAGAAGCTCCACTATCACCACCCAAAGCTGAAATTCTACTTAAATTATTTCCTGAACGTTTGTTACGGGACACTTACAAAATTAAGTACCATCTCGGTATTAAAATGACTTCTTTTTTCTATAAGTTACTACGTATTTCGTGCATTATATGTATCACCTCTGGATTTTACACCAAAGGGAAATCAGACCCCAGGCCTCTCACGGCCACAACTGAATTAACTTGGGGCGGGGGAGCGGATATTTCAAGGTCCGTAGCGACCCCAGACCTCGGATACGGACAGGGGACCACCAGGCGCAGGTTTAACTAGCAAAGAACGGTTAACTCACACTCCCCACCGCGACGTCAGCTCCGAGTTCTCCGCTTCGGGATCTGCAGCAAACTGCGCGCCCGTGGAGTAGAGACGCCAGCAGCGGCTGGGGGCGGGGCCTGAGCCGAGCGCCACGGGGAGGGGCGGGGCGTGGGCCCAAGCCAGCGCCGGGAGCGTGAGAGGGCGGGGCGGGCGCTGCACGTTCCTCCGTTTGATCCTGTCTGGGTTTAGAAATGCTTGAGGGTCTTGTGTTGCACCATTGCTTCCTTCTTGGTTTAACAGTTTGTAACAGTTTTAAGGTAAAAGCTTAAAGTAGTGTGGGATACTTATGTTGGTCTGGGAACTGCAGTCTCGGCGGGGGCTTGATGTGGGGTGGTGTTTGGACCTAGGAACACTCCTGCAATTAGAGTTAATTTAAGCAGTTTAAGGAAACAAGAGCTGGATCTGTCTGTGTAGGGATTACAAACTATGTGAAACACAGAACCCTTTGAATGGGCTATTTCATACTAACACCGGTAAGGACAAAAATGTTGCCGTGCCATTCCAGTTCTACAAGGATCAAGCTCATTGGTCACTGCAGTGGCCCTGAGTGTGTCATACAAATACAAATGGGGAAGGGCAATTCGGTGAAGGAAACAGGAGAAAATTGCCAGGATGGGAACATATTTACAATGATTGAGGAATAGCCATAATTATTGTGTGGCTTGGTGAGGTGTGATATTAATTTTCTATTGGAGACATTTAAAATTTGGGACTTCTTGTAGTTAGAATTTTTTTATTTTTCAGGACTTAAAAAGCCACCCTATATAAATAGGCTGTGTATACTTCTGCATGTTGAGTCTTTGTTTTAAAAATGATATAATTCCCTAGAGAGCTTAAGATATAAGTAATGGATCCAAAATCATGATTACCTGTTTGAAGGACACACAGACATGTTTCTTTATAGCATCCTCAGTATTGCCGAGAAGACATGGGGATGGGGCAGTATAATGAATTAATGGAAAGATAGTTAATATCATTTGTCAAAATTGCCTGAGAGACTTGATCCCAGGACTAGTTATATACACACTTTTCCTGTACCGACCCCTGTAGCTATGTAGGGGTATGTTGCTAGTTCCACTTATGAATGCATGACAAGTAAAGTAAGTGGACGCTTTTAAGCCTCAGTTGTTCCTTCAGTGTCAATGTCATCAAAATATTTTAACGTATAATAAGACACTGTACTTTCGAATCAAATTGCAACATAATCTCATATCACTTGTATTTCCCCTGAATGAGTACAAGACCTACTGACTGCCAATTATTCCAGTTTTACTTTTCCAAGTAAGAGCAATCCTGTGTCGCAACAACATGGATCGACCTAGCGATCACCGTACTAAGTCAGAAAGACAAATACCATATGCTATCACTTATATGTGGAATATAAAATATGACACAAACGAACTTATCTACAAAACAGAAACAGACTCACAGACATAGAGAACAGACTTGTAGTTGCGGGAGGTTAGTAGATGCAAACTATTATATATAGATTGGATAAACAACAAGGTCCTACTGTGTAGCACAGGGAACTATATTCAATACCCTGTGATAAATCATAATGGAAAAGAATATGAAAAAGAATATATATATGTATAACTGAATCACTTTGCTGTACAGCAGAAATTAACATTACAAATCAACTATACTTCAATAAAATAACTTTTTTTAAAAAAAGAGTAATTCCTGTGTCACCACTGCCTAATACCTGAGTACCAGATTGACTTTTCCGTATGCATTATGTCCCAAATTTTATAGTAACTGAGATACGAAATCAAAATGTGACGCTCCATGAGAAGTCAGCAAACATTTTTGTAAAGGGGCAGATAGCAAATATTTTATTCTTTGTAAGCCAGACTGATTCTGTTACAACTATTCTACTCTGCCCTTATTAGGTCCATAGTACCTCAACATAAGTGTGTTCTAATTACATTGATGCGGCATTTAAAAACAGACGGCAGGTTGTATTTGGCTCCTGTTCTGTAGGTTGCTGAGCCATGACCTACACAAAGGAATGAAGGGCACCAGAGACAGTAACTACACGAGTAAATACATAAGCCATACCTTTCTTATTTTTAAGTTTCTTTGAAATATAATTGCTTAAAAAACTTAACCATCTAGTTTGGGTTTATAGCATATGTCAAAGTAAAATCTATGATGATGATCACACAAAGGGCAGGAGTGGAGAAATGGAAGAATATGTGTGTAAGGGTCGGATGCCCTATAGAAAGTAGCGCTGAAGTCCTTGAATATAGACTGTGGTAAGCTGTACAGTAAAACCCCTAGAGCAAACACTTATAGTTACAGCTAACAGTGATGAACCGAAAAAGGAGTTTAAACAAACCCATAAAAAAATTCAGTTATTTTACAGAAGACAGAAAAAGAGGGGAAATAGTGGAAAATACAAAGCAGACAATATAAAACCAACAGCATGATAATAATTTAAATCTAACTATATAATTATCTCTTTCAAACCAAATGGCCTAAAGACCCCAACTGAAAGGCAGACATTGTCAACTAGATTTTTAAAAGAGAGATGACATTATGTTTCCCACAAGAAATGCACTCTGAAAATTAAAGGACACAAAGTAAAAGCATGGAAAAAAGATAAACCATATCAACACTCTTCAAAATAGAGTGGCTATTGTAAGATCAAAGTAGATTGAGGAGCAACTAATAAGACCGGGGATAATGAAATCTAGTTCATAATCATAAAGGGATTAAGTTCATCAGAATGACATGACAATCATAAAAACTATGCATCCAGCAGCAGAACTTCAAAACCCTCGGAAAAAACTTGACAAGATTGCAAGGAGAAATAAATAAACCCACACTTACGGTCAGCGATTTCCATGCTTCCTCTGTCAATAACAGTAGAAGAACAGACAGAAAATCGGTAAGTTCCTGGAAGATTCTAACAATACCGTTAATCAATGAAATGGAGATTTATAGAACTGTGAGATAACAGAAAATATATATATTGATCTGTGGCCCTGGTTCCTGGCACAGAGCTCCTAAAACCTTGTGATTCTCTAAGTGATAAGAGCACCAGGAACATCTTTTGTTCTATTGAGGTGACTCTGGGCGGCTCCATCCTATAAGGGGAGCTTGGTCAGCAGGAAGACCAAGCAATGATTAGAGCTTGGAATTTTCAGCCCTACCCCTAAAAATTCATTATACCTACACGAGGAAGCCTCCATAAATTCCCGACAGTAGGAGGTTCAGAGAGCTGCAGACTGGCGAACACATCCACATGGGGAGGGTGATGCACCCCAACGCCATGAAGACAAAAGCACCTAAGCTGGGGTACCTCCCAGATCTCACCTTATGTGTCTCTTCAACTGTATCCTTTACCATACCCTTTAGTAAACTGGCGAATGTGTTTCCCTGCGTTTTGTGAGCAGCTCTAGCAAATTAACTGATCCCAGGAGGGGCTTGTTGGAATCCACCATCTATAGCTACTTGGTCTGAAGCAAAGGTGATGATGACCTGGACCTGTGACTGGGGTCTGAAGTGTGTCGGGCGGGGGCTGGGGCAGTGTTGTGGGCTGAGCCCTAATCTGTGGGATGTGATGCTCTCTCCAGGTAGATAGTGTCAGAATTGAGTTTAAGTGAAAAACACCCAGTTGGTGTTGCAGAGAATTGCTTGTTGTGGGGAAGAACTTCCACGTTTGGTGACCAAAAGTGTGAGAAGCGAAGTGTTCAGAGTGAAGGTCGTAATAGTGTGAGCATAAAGGAAACACAGAGAAAAGCACACGGTGGGATGGACTGGATCTTTCTCTGCACAGGGGGAAGGGAACTGAGTTTTCCCCCTATAAGAACAATCCAGCTAACGAGAATTTTAAGCAATCTTTCAAAGTGCACATAGTACTTTACCAAGACAAACCACATCCTGGCCCATGAAACAAGTCTGGATAAACTTTAAAAGAATCCTATACAAAATATCTCTATGACCACAATGGAATTAAAACAGAAATCATTAACAAAAATATCTGGAAAATCAAATATTTGAAATATAATGACTGACTTGTGACCAACCCTGTGACAGAGAAGAAATCAGAAAGGAAATTAGAATGTATTCTGAATTGAATAAAAATGAAAACAGAATGTATCAAATTTATAATTTGCTACTATAGCCGGAGAAATTAAAAAGAGCACCCTTGGAGAAGGGATAGCAATTTAACAAAACACCTAAAAGCCTAAGGGCTCTTTTGTTTGTTTTTTTTTGTTTGCTTGGGCTTTTTGGCCCTCAGTGTGAACTTCCTGCTTGTAAGGGGACTTAAGTCTTAACTGAGGTCATCCAGTTCTGAGGCTTGTTTAGGTAGGCGAAGGCATCACAGTGAAAGAGGGCAAGTTTCTTTAGGTTGTTACAAGTATCTGATATGATAAACCAGTTAAACATGTGAAAACTGAGAACACACAATCCATTAAGGGTAGTTAGACAATGAAAGGTAATATATTTCTAGATGAATTAAAATTAAATGGATACACTAATGCAAACAGTGAATATATGATGGAAGGAATGAGGGTAATATTTAGGAAGGGGATCTTGAAATCAAGATTTCAAAGGTGGAACAATTACTGGGAATAATGAACTCCCATCTGTAACCTAAACCTTGGGTGGTTAAGGTGGGTAAGGAAAAAAAAAAGGTCATTGAAAGTGTACCAGTCAGCTTTCTACAAGTTTCCCTGTGGTAACAAATATCCCTGAATTCTTACTGGCTTATAACAACAAACATTTATTTCTTGCTCATATGATATCTATCATTATTCACCTCTTGCTAGTTTCTCTAACTTGATTCTGGGATTCAGGGTAAAATTCCAGTGTATCTGGGATCTACCATTCTTGCAGCAGGAAGAGAAGGTTCAAAAAAGCAAACAAAGGTTTTGAAAGCTTCCATTTAAAGTTGAAACATACCATTCTACTCACACCAGGAACTCACAAAGCCAATCTTGCATAAAATGGGCAGGGAAGTGCAGTCCTCTCAAAAGGAAGGAAGGGTTGGTTGCCTAAGTCAAGTGGCCAAGTTTGATATCAAAGGGCAGACATGTATGATCTCACAGGATGGTGATAAATGATTGGAAATAATATTACAATATATGTTAGTACAGCTTCTATCAGAAATAATTTGTCTGTCCTTTGTTCACACAAAATATATTTACCCCGGTCCCAGAGGAAAGAAAAAAACATTTCTACCTAGACATGAGTTCAATCACAAATGAGAATTTCATAATAATCTCATGAGACTCCTCTGAATTCAGAGCCCCATGTGGAGCTCTCCTCACTCATAACACATTATGGTGGAACAGAGAAATAAAATCTCAATAAACACTCTCATTTAGAAGAAAAAAAGAAAAGAGGTACCCAGTAGTCTCGGGTCCACAGCCAATGTGCAGCTCTGCTGGGCAGATGTAGTGAGGGCGCTGGTCTGTGGGGGCAGGAATGACAAAGGACCCTTTTCTTGAATCCAGCTCTTCTCCTGAGAACGGACATGCAGTGCTTTGTATTTCGTTGCTCTTGCCTTCACCTAGTTACATCTAACAGAGTATTGGAAATGTTGCCTTCCTTGTGCAATGAGCTGCTTGCTCCGGTTACTCCCTTCGCATGAATATTTACAGTCCCAAAGATGATCGGGTTAATTGAAAAAAATAAAACTGGAAACCCACTATCAAAACTACCAAAGAAAATAGGAGAGGGACTTCCTTGGTGGTCTGGTGGTTAAGACTCCAGACTCCCAAGGCAGGGGGTCCGGGTTCCATCCCTGGTCAGGGAACTAGATCCCACATGCACGCTGCAACTAAGAGCCTTCCTGCTGCAACTAAAAGATCCTGCATGCCATAAGGAAGATCCCGTGTGCCGCAGCTAAGACCCGGCGCAGCCAAATAAATAAATAATTTTTTTTTTTTTAAAAAGAAGGAAAATAGGAGAAACACAAATAACTAACATCAAATGAAACAGGGAACATTACTACTGTTAAAAAGAAAACCACAGGCCAAAATGGAATCACTCATGCTAGGCCACACCACTAAACTGGGGCTTGAGGGACTTCCCTGGCGGTCCAGTGGTTAAGACTCTGCACTTCCACTGCAGGGGGCACAGGTTCGATCCCTGGTGGGGGAACTAAGGTCCTGAATACCATATGGTGTGGCCAAAAAAACCCCCAAAAAACCGGGTCTTGATAACTTAACTGAAGCTTCAACCTCCCCCAGAAATGCTGTCTTAACAGGTCAGTCAGGAATTTTCTGGTCTGCGCCAGTGAGGTCATGTGTCACGTGGGCCCTCTCCATTCTCCAAAGGAACATGAGGTCCTCTGCCACACAGACCCCTTCTGTCCACCACAGGTGGGTGACCTAAGCCTGAAGTTATCTTTTTTGTTTATGACTTTTTGCCTTGCCTTTAAAAAAACCTCTCCTTTTCTGTAGCCCTTTACAGCTCCCCTCTCCTCACTGTACGGGACGCTGCCCTATTCATATATCAATCAATGAAGCCAATTAGATCTTTAAAGTTTATTCAGTTGAATTTTTGGTTAACACTACAGAGGGACTTCCCTGGTAGTCCAGTGGTTAAGACTTCGCCTTCCAGTTCAGGGGATGCGGGTTCGACCCCTGGTTGGGGGACTAAGATCTCACGTGCCGTGGGGCAACTACTGAGCCCACGCACTCTAGCGTGCTCCCCAACTAGAAAGAAGCCCACTCGCCACAACGAAGAGCCTGCACACCACAAGGAAAGATCTGCAACCAAGACCTGACGCAGCCTAATTAATTAATTTTAAAAAATGGTCCATATCAAAAAAAAAAAAAAAAACTACAGGGCTTCCCTGGTGGCGCAGTGGTTCAGAGTCCGCCTGCCGATGCAGGGGACACGGGTTCGTGCCCCGGTCCGGGAAGATCCCACATACCGCAGAGTGGCCCGTGAGCCATGGCCGCTGAGCCTGCGCGTCCGGAGCCTGTGCTCCACAACGGGAGAGGCCACAACAGTGAGAGGCCCGCATACCGCAAAAAAAACCAACCAAACAAAAAAAAACTACAGAATTTACAGACATCAAAAGGATAGTAAGGGACTACTACAAATGCTCCACACACATACACTTGACAACTAAGATGAAACATTCTTTTAAACATACAACCTACCACAAATCACCGATGGGAAGCATATCATTTGAATAAATATTCTGAATTACGAAGTGAGTTTATAATTTTAAAATCTCCCCTCGCCCCCAAAATAAATCTGCAAGCACAGTGACTGTTGAGTGTTTAGCTAAACTACTTGGTAATACTGCTGCCTTGGCATTTATTTTGTGTGGCCAAGTGGCCTGCACGGGTCTTGAACTGACACCAGCCCTTCCCTTGAGGGCATGTCCTAGATAACAGCCCACAGGGTCACAGTAAATGTAAGTTCCTGATATGACTCCCCCAGCTGCCCTTGTGATAAGCATTGTCCCCTGTTACCCAGGGCCTTCCCCTTGTTTCCCTTTAGATAAGACCCCCCACCTCTGAAGTTTACCAAAACCCTGCTCTTTTGGGTTTGAACTGACCTATCTGACCTTAGCCCCAGAACCCAAAATCACTCCATCCATGGAGCCTAATAAAGACATGTGCCCTAGGTCCTGCCCCGTGCTCCTTGACTGCACCCTGCTCCCTGCCTGAACCTCCTCACGTGGCCCAGGAGGTGTGCCTCAGGACCTATAATAAACGTCTGCATTTTGTTTTCCCTTGCAGTCTTTTGTTGAGTAGGGGCTCAACATCCAACACTTGGGGGCTCTACTTAACAAATATTAACAAAATCACAACAGTAACAGTAGACAATTCTATCAAACGTATAAAGAAGAATAGATAGCAATTATATACAATTTCTTTCGGAAAATGGAAGTGGAGGGAATACTTCCCAGCTCAATTTGTGAGGCCAGTATTACCATGATGCTAAAACTAGACAAAGACATCAGAAATAAAATAAATAAATAAAAGAGGAAGAAGAAAGATAACTACCAACTAAATCCCACATGTAGATGTAAAAGTTCATAACAAAATATTAGCAATAGAAATCAACAGTACACAGAAAGAACTATACACCATGACCAAATGGTGTTTATTTGAGGGGGAGAAGGCTGGCTTTAACTTCCAACCAATGTCATCCACACTGTTAAGAGGATGAAGAAGAAAATTCAGGGGCTCTGTCAACAGATGCAGCAAAAGCACTTCATAAAATCCAATGCCCATTTATTATTATATAAACTTCAGAGAACTAGGACGAGAGGGAACTTCCCTCAACTCAATAAAGAACACCTACAAAAAACATACAGGAAACATCACACTTAATGGTGAAAAACGGAATGCTTTTCCCCAGAGATTAGGCACCAGGCAAAGATGTCCACTCTCACTACTGCTATTGACATTGTATTAGAAGGTGGAGCCAGTGAAATAAGGGACGAGTAAATAAAAGTAATAGGGAGAGAAAGAGAAGATAAAATAGTGTGCCCACTCGTAGAAGACATTACTGTGTGGTAGGCTGAGTAATGCGCCCCCCAAGTATCCACACCCTCCTAGCTATAACGTATTGAGTGTTACTTTAAATGTCTGAAGGCAGTTTGCAGATGTGATCTACTTAAGATCATGACATGGGAGATGATCCTGGATGGTCTGGTAAATGTGTTATAATCCCAAGGGTCCTTATATGCAGGATACGGTAGAATTAGACTCATGTAGAAGTTGGTGATGTGACAGAAGCAGAGCGACAGAGATAAAGAGATTTTAAGAGGCCACCTTGCTGCCTTTGAAGATGGCAGAAGCAGACCATGAGGCAAAGGATCTAAGCGGCCTCTGGAGCCCAGAGGGAGTGAATTCTAACCTCAAGTATCCAGAAGGAGCACAGGGCTTTGGATCCATTTTACACTTCCGGCCTCCAGAACTGTAAAAAGAATAAATGTTGTTGGTTTAAGCCACTCAATTTTTGGTAATTTGTTACAGCAGCAATAGGAAAACTTAAAGAAATAATATATGTAGAAAATCAAGATGATCTACATAAATTTCTAGAAAAATAAAATTTGCAATGTGTCAGTATGTAAGAACAACATACAACAATCTACTGCACTTCTACAAGCTAGCAATTTATACATGGAAACTGACATTAAAAATACAATACCATGTATAAGTGTTCAAAAAAAAAAAGTAGAAGAAATATGTGTGTGTGGGGTGGGATGAACTGGGAGATTGAGATTGACATATATACACTATTGACACTATGTATAAAACAGACAACTATTGAGAACCTAGTGTGTAGCACAGGGAACTCTACTCAATGCTCTGTGGTGACCTAAATGAGAAGGAAATCCAAAAAAGAGGGGAAATACATATACGTATAGCTGATTCACTTTGCTGTACAGCAGAAACTAACAATATGGTGAAGCAACTAGACTCCAATTAAAAAAAAAAGAAATATGTGTAATTTTACACGTCTTTTAAGTCTATTTCAATAATTATTACATTATTTCCAATTCAGTTTCTCTTAGCAGCCCTCCACTAATAATTATATGATCTATAATCAAGAATAATCTCTGTCCTAAAATGTTTGATCTCTTTCTCATGGTTTTGTTCTACTCCTCAGCTAGCCACAATCTTCTGCAATTATTTCCACAGTTAGTATCTCTCCACCCTTGTTCCTGACTCAAGGGAAATGGGTCTTCTGTATCCACCCTAATAGTGAACCGTTCTTGCCTCAATAAATCTAACTTCATCTTGGATAATCTTCCTTGTAGGGTTATGTGGCTATCAGTGTATTTACATCTTATTTAACTATTCACTCATTGGTAATATTGGCCTACGAAATAAAAGTACAGACAGAACAGAAAGTCCCCACAGCCATAATTATATATAAAGATAACCCATAAAAAAAGTCAAGAGATACTCACAAAATTAAATACAGATGTTGAATAGTTGAAGAATACAAATAATTTGTCCTGTTAGTGTAGCATCATGGTTAAGAAACAACTTTACAACCAGACAACATAGACTCAAATCCAGATTCAGCCACTTGTTGGGATGGGATTAAATGAGCTTTCAAATTTGCCTCTGTCCTGACTTCCTTCATCTGTGAAATAAGAATAACATCAGTACTTATCAGAGAGTTGAAGAGTCCAGCAGTTATCATACGTAAAGCGTTAATAACAGCGACTCTTAAAATACGATATAAAAGATATCAAAATTAATATCATTTATTAAAGGAAATACACTTATTATATTGGGATGGGAACAAATTCTAAGTGGAGGATATTGGGTGTCAGTTGCCGTGGTAAAAGTAGCACAAATCTAATTTTCCCTGCAAGACCCTCTGGCTCTGAATGTGAATACATCA